TACCGAGGGCGCGAAAATGGCTGCCGCTATGGGGAAACATCGCAGAACGGTGAGTTTTGTGCCCATTAGGAACGCATTAAACGAAGTTTAATGTGTTCCAATGCGTTTCCCCGTTCCGTATAGCGATGTTTCCCCATAACGAAGGTTAATCCGGAGCGGATTAACCTCGCTATGCGGGGCACCACTGTATATGGTTCCCTAACAATACTGTTTGGCATTGGGGAGGGGGGGAAACATATCCATATGTGTTTCTGCTTAAAACAATCAGCGGGGCACCACTGTATATGGTTCCCTAACAATACTGTTTGGCATTGGGGAGGGGGGGGAAACACATCCATATGTGTTTCTGCTTAAAACAATCCATCCTCCCCATTTAAGTGTTGGCCTGTATCTTTCTGGCACAGGGCTAGGGCATGCAATCTTTTTAGGACGATTCACTGAGATGCAACATAGGTCTTTGTTCTGCCGTCACAGATGGGCACTACAAATTAAATAGATTGCACTGAAGATAAGAAACATTTAAGCTCTGGCCAGCACACGCCAAATTTCACAGTGTGGACAGACCCCAATAATGTTGTAAAAGATTGAAGGCAGGAAAAGAGGAAGACCAAATATGAGATGGATTGACTACCTAAAAGAAACCACAGTCTTAAGTTTACAAGAGATGAGCAGGGCTGTTGAGGACATGACATTTTGGAGATTGCTCATTCATAGGTTTACCGTAAGTTGGAGGCAACTTGATAGTTGGAGGCAACTTGATAAGAACAATAATTTTAACTGTTAGGATAGTTTAAAACAAAGTAGAGGTCATTTTAAAAAGTAAAACAAAAGAGCAAAAAATTCATTTCCAATCTTATATTAGCCAGACATCATGTAATTCAAAAGCAAGAAAGAATAATTTTATATCAGAAGAATTATCTTTAAGACATTATACATTTTGCTCTCTTACCAGCTGACACAAGCACCACTGCAGTAAACAAGCTCATTTCTTCATCACTAAGGTTCAGGGCATTTAGCTTCTCACTAAACTCAAACATGGAATTAAGCAGATCACCAGCTCCCATTGAACGTAGATCATTGAGACTGTACTTCTTTCCACTAAGAAAGGTGACAGTACGATCTTTTGCATCAAATAAAGAAGCAAACCGTACCATTAAAACCTAGGTGAAGGGAAAAGATGAAATTTAAAACATAGCTATATACCTGCGTAAAACAAAATTAGGGAGACAAGAAACAAATGTTTAATGCTGCACAACAGGCATGTAATTTTAAAAGGTTGCATTACTAATTTGACAGTTGACAGTTAAGAGTTGTTCAAGGAACAGAAGAGACATTTGTTTTTTGTAACTGTGATAGCAACGGGACAGACTAAAAATCCACTGCACTGAGAAGCATATGACTGTTACACTACTCCAACACCTTGCACAGTTGCCCAACAACCCTGTGTTTACATTAATGGTCTGTGTAGCAAGGGACCTGGACAATTTTCTTAAAATAAAAAAGGCTAACTGCAGAACAGACTAAGAGACCTCTCTAAAAATAATCTTTAGGAGTTTGTTCATAAAATAGATGATGCAAGCAGTTAGAAATCGTTCAAGTAAGAAAATATATAAAGACATTTTTGGGCTTAAAACATCAAAGGAAAGAAGCACTGTCCTAGCCATCTGGCATACATAACTGCCGACTAATGATTTCTGTATCTCCTGATGTTTATATTAATTACTTTGATTTTAAAGGCTATAGTTTGTAAAAACTTATTTAGCTTTTTGATGGATATGACTTGCAAATGTGAAAGGCTGGTAGCATAATCTTTCTGCATTGCAAAAAAAGAAAGAAAGAAAATTTTAAATTCACTTTAAGATTTTAATTATAGGTGACCAAAACAATTGGGCTGAATAGATTCTGGAGCTGGGTGGGCAATTTTCAGGCTTCCGAGGTCTGCTTTGCCTTCTTCCAGAACCCTAAGATTCTCCAACCCAAATCATGTTCAAAAGCACTCCTAAGGATAAAATCACATTTTATGTCTGAGATGCTTTGCGATAAACAACTTGGCATAGCTATCCTTTGCCCCAAGTCTTTTTAATCATAGCAACCTAACATGGATAGGATCATTGTTTGACACTCTTCAGTACCTGGAAGTCAGAAAGACTTCCCGATCTACTGTAAATCCCTTAAAAACAGATAGTGATTTATGATCTTCTAGAGGCATAGCATGCTCTGCAGCACTTCAAAAACTACCTGCAAAATTTCATGCATGTTTATCAAAAAGTATATTCAATTATGTCCAATGGGGCTTATTCTATGGTAACTTAGGATTGCTGTCTACAACGTTTACTGCAGTAGGATTTGTTACAAAGCAAATCTTACCTCCAATGCATGAGGAGGACACTGAATGTGACGTTTGTGTGTGTGTGTGTACAGGGAGTTCTCATGTAAGAAGTGGAGAGGAAGCTTCATTGACTATTCCTCTATAATCTGTAGTAAGTCTCGCTATCATGGCAATTATGTTTCTGCCCACTGGCAAGTAGTATAAGCAGGCCAAGAACTTTGTAAGATGGAACAATGGCAGGTTAAATGTTACCACAATCCAAAAATAAGCCACATAGACACAATTCACTAACACAGCTGCATTTATTTAATCAATTTTAACTGTCAAGAAGGCAAGGAGTGTAAAAACTAACTATAGTATATCCAGACCCTATGGCACATATTTGCCACTGATTATGGACCCCAGAACATGGGTAGCAACAGAGCTCAAGCTATGTCTAAGACTGGGGTAGGGTATGCTAAACACCCCCACACACACTTCCACCTCAAATGGTCAGGCAAAATTATACTAAGATCTCAAGAATCATCAGTCAAAAGTGATCAAAAATGACCAGGGGCCCATGCATGCACACAGCATTTCAGATTGCTACTGTAATTGAGTTCCGCCAGGGTGAAAGCAAAAAATTCCTACAAATATTCTTACAAAAAACTAGTCCCTATGAAAAACCACAATTAGTTCTTTGCACATTTACTTAGGGGTAGACACCACTGAAAACAATGGAAGTGGCCATCTAAGCAGGTATATTTTTCTGTAAAGAGTATTTGTAGACAAGTGGGATTTACAGATTACAACCACTTATTTAACAAGATTTTGTGCAAGTTTAGTGCTCTTTTGTACCACTTTGGTGCTTGGCAGCAAACTGCCACTCATTAATAAGGTGCTAGTTGTGCTTCAGGGTGCTGACTTATTGTGTAGTCAGGCACAGTAAGTCAGCAAACCTAGTAATGCAACCGCCATCTCATTAATGACCAGCAATTTCCCTTAAGCAAGAATAATTTGGCAATAGGATCCTGACCTCAGAATCTGCACTGACAAAGAATGTACTGAAACACAGCATACAGGTTTATAGTTAACATAAAGCTTCACAACACTGTGAGATCCACCCTAAACTTATGCTGAAGATTCATACCATTTATGTTTTGTTTCATACCACAAACCACTACTGTTTAGCCCCAGTCAAGGGAAGGAGATGAATGTCAAACCCAGATGCACTTGCTTGTAGTTGATCAATTAAAACAGTCTACAACATTTGCAAATGCATGTTACAGCCCCAAATAGCACAAAACGTGTAGTCTGAAGGAGACACCGGGGGGGGGGGAGGATTTATAGCTAACACACTCACACTAGGGCTCCACATTTACCGGAAATAAGTCATACCAGAGAAAAGGACATTTCTAGACCTTATAGCCATCTATTTAGCCTAATATATCAATTTTATGCTTTAATCAATTTTGTGATACTTCCATTAATAATTGTACAGTGGTGCCTCGCTTAACGAGTGCACCGTTTAACGATTAATCCGCATACCGACGCAGATTTTGTGATCGCTTTTGCGATCGCATTACGATGTTGCCTATGGGGAAAAATCGCTTTGCGATTTTTCCCCA